TTAGTTTCTCCAAGTTTCCATTCAGCTATATGTACAATTCTTTCTCAGCCCCCGAGATTTGGGCTTGTCCTGCGTTAAGACTTGAAGCAAGAGTGTGAAGCAACCTTTGGGATGCCCAGTAAGAGATGAGTAGTACTCAGCGGGAGATTGTGAGGTGAAGTTTTGAACGTCAGTGAAAATCAGTAAGTTCATAGTTGTTGCTATGCACCTGCAAAATCATAGCAGAAGGCTCAAGGGCTCATTCGTCGTAAGAAAATAAAACTTCATTGTTTTCTTTCGATGGTGTATGAGACGCTAACAAAGAAAAAGGGGCAGACTGTGTAGAGCAAAAGATCGTAAGAGAATACAAGGTGGTGCAAAGGTGCACAAAGTAAGTAGAGACTGTAGAAAAAAACACTCGTCCCTCCGACCTGAAGGAAGATTTTTTTCTCTCTAATTGATTTGTTCTTGCCAAGGTACCGACCAGTCGAAACTATTCGTAGCCTGAAGAAACAGAATTCTAGAGCTCACCACACGCTACCCATGTTTTTTTGTTGTTTCCAGACGGAAGAACGGCAAGGATCTAAGCTCTAGTGTCGTTGAGTCCAAATTTTTACAGAGATGATGAAACCGTGTTCAGTGTCATCACAATGATAAATCATAAAATGGTGATGTACAAAGAACTCTTGTTACCTTCTTTTATTGCGATTTGATACATGAAAGTCTAATAATTTTTGTAAAGAAAATAGAAATTGTATTACAGATTTTACCGCAACGAAATCAAATAGCATATCCATGATAGATTTTTCAATTTTCTACATGACGTTCGAGATTATCTTCTGTTATCTTACATTATGTACATCGACCTTAAAAAATCTACATGGAAAGTGGTTATTACGTATTAGCCTTAACATGGTTAGATTGGAAGAGTAAATTACAGTCCATATATCATAGCCGTTTATATGTACCCTTTGAACGCGTCAAAAGGCTGACACGTTCAAAAAATACATGCTGAAACAGACGAACAACCGTTAAGCTGATGTATGATTCTACACATCACAATAGAATAGAAGCAAATTTCATCTAGAAGAGTATTGCATGTGGCTGGGGTAGATGTCTTTAACCGAAATAATTCATTTAGCATGTGAGTGAATTGTACACGCACTTGATCTTCAAAATTTACAAAAGATATTTGGTCCACATTAGCTGAGATAGACATGAACTACTGTTTCCAACAAAATTCTCTGTGAAAAAGTTGCATCAAAGTAACTACCGGTGTAAGAAGAGGACAAATTATGTTCTGATCGGTATGTTGTTTCTATCACTGAAATTAAATTTTTATAAGGAGGTGCGGCTAGGTTCTAAATTGAATGTCGTAAACATCACAACGAGAGAATAAGACCAAAAAGGAGAATTTCCCTGTTAATTAATGCATTGTAGAGTATGTAAAGCTGATAAAAACTCATTCCATTTTCTCGCTGCTATGCAGTGTCTCCCGAATATATAATCAGCAACACGACGTGCAATTTTGGTGCATACATGGGGATCAAGGGATTTGCGATCACTCTGCTGCAGTCGTGGCTTCGAGCACCAGACAAAATTCGTTGTGACTGGTGTGTAAAGATTTCTCCGACAGAGTCTGAGAGTCCCGGACTTCCAGTTCCAACCCACCACCGGACCAGTCTCCACCAGAGAGAACGATTGACAAGCGACAAGAGAATTACAAATCGTTAACGTTGGGTCAAGAATTTCGCAAGGCCAGGTATCAGCTTCGGGAAGAGATCTCCACGCAGCAGATTCGCAATTCGCAGGATCACCGTAGTGTCAGGAAAGCCAACGCAAGTCCTAAATAGTTCAGGAGGTCAACGGATACTTCTAACATGTTGTAATTTCTAAAATATCACTAAAACGTTTGAAGAGCTTTGAATAAAAAGGGCAACCAAAATTGTTGCTCTATGATTCAATCATCACAACCATGCACTGAATAAATCTTGAAGTATTTATTTAGAAGATTTTTTTGTTGTGTAATCGATGGGAATGTCTTGAACAACAACTACACATTGTAAGAAAAATGCAAGTTTGTGAACAGCCTTCAAAAGAATTGTGCACACAGTAAGATTGAATTTGACGATACTTGATCGGATATCAATTGTAACTGAGCAACTATTTCTATACGAGTGTTTTTTAGATCAAGTTGGCAAGGCAGAAATATAGTCAAGAATGTAGCAAGAAAAAATGTTGGTTTTGATCCGCTTCTATCAAAATACTCACAGTTCTCTACCCTAGAATCATAATTGGGTTGTACTATCCAGAGATGTATATAATTTCACATATTTTCAAAATTTATTATTAAACAAACTATCAGGGTTTATTTCTCATTTCTAATCTTCTCAGACACTTATGACTCCGACTTGTCAAAGTAAATAGACAAATTATTCTTAAACAGCAGAAGAAATTAGTAAGTGATCATTTTGAGACAATTTTGTAAGAACTTAATTATGTAAGTGAATCGTAAAGTTTATAAATATAATTTACATAAAACTATCACTTAATATAAAAGAAATGCTTTGTTTGACCAGAATATTTTTTCAGAGTAACTATTTTGAAATACCTAGAATGTAGAACTTCTGGTTCAATATATGCCATCTCCAGTTAGAAAATTATTTCAGTACGCTTGATAACGATTTCGTACAAAAACTACTCACATATGTACGATTTTGATATTCATATTTTTGTAATCAAAGATCACACTCAACACGTTCTTTCTTGCTGTCCTGTACAAACTGGAATTGTGGATCTTTCGTCTGCTTGCCGATCTACCCGCTGAAAATATTTTTAAAAGGACACATTATGATCTTCGTATAATCCATCATGTTTGTTCGTACAGTACTGTACTGCGAATGGTCTGCCGGACCAGTGAATATTATTTACACTCTTCAGGAATCATATCGTAGAATAGAAAATTACTGCACAAGACACCGCACCAGCTGTCGCATTCCCTAGTTCAGTTAACTCCCGAGCGTCGCGAAGGATGACCTGGACATCACACGGGAGGCGGTTGCCGTCTCATGAAAGTAAAACGAATAATACACGTCAACCTAATGGAAGCTTCAAGAACACGCTTCTTGAAATTTCCATTCAACCACTCTCCCCCGACCAATCCTTTTTGGATTGTTCTCTGCAGGCCAACTTGCATCTTGACCTTCCCCACCGACTAACCTAGAGTAGCATAGACCGAGCAAAAAATAGAAAAATAATTTTCAAGGACCATAACCTAAAGAAGCAATTTCTGAGCTCAATTCCGATCCTGGGATAAGAAATTTTCTCTACGCTTCTACTTTCCAAATTTACACCTACTAACCTAAAATACCATAGACCGAGCCAAAATTAAAGCAGACTGATGGTTCATTAATCGAATCCTAACCATTGATATAATATTATTTTGGGGAGCCAACGTGTAGCGCAATCTGGTAGCTCGTCTGCCTTCGGCGCAGAAAATTACAGGTTCAAATCCGGTCACCTTGAATCAAAATCGGAGTCAACTAAAAAGATGAATAATTTACAACGACCATAACCTAGAGAAGTAATTTCTGAGCTCAGTTCCCGATCGTGGGAGAAGAAGTTTCCTCTACGCTTCTACTTTCCAAATTTACACTCGCAGGTTCTAACTTTAAGGAACTGCTGACAGATATGGCCCCACCTGCACGCCCACTTTCAGAAAGTGCTCTCGAGCTTAGATCGCTGAGCCCGATGTCCACGAGGATAACAATTCTTGCATTTTAGGCAAATTTCACATGTTCGGCCTCATCCTCTGCCGCCTCACTGGTTTCTTTGGCTTTCACATACTTTTCATTGCGTTCAGTGTAGATATTGCGGAAAAGCAAATGTGTTCAGTATGCTGTTTCAACATACTAAAGAACAAATTTCACAAATTTCAAATTTCGTGAACAAATTCCAGGAAATTTGTTGAATTTCCAGGAGTTCAACAAATTCCACTCGATTCCTTTCAGTTTCTGCATTAGCAGCCTCAGGTGGGGTTCCTTGATGAATTCATACTTGCATCAGTTGTGTGTACAGTTTTTATGCTCTCATATTTCACAATTTCACAAATTTCGTGAACAAATTCCAGGAAATTTGTTGCATTTGCAGGAGTTTAACAAATTCCACTCGATTCCTTTCAGTTTCTGCATTAGCAGCCTCAGGTGGGGTTCCTTGATGAATTCATTCTTGCATCAATTGTGTATACAGTTTTTAGCTCTCATCAGTTCTTTCTATCCATTCGTGTCAAGCTTGATTTGTATCACTGTTAGATTCCAACTTCCCACAAAGCCATATCTGGAATATCCGTCGGGAGAGTCGAGACCAGTTTTCTTCTCTAGAGCCACTTGATTTGACACCTACTTTTTAAGCAACTCATGTAAATTTCTATCTTAACGTACGTGAATTGCATGTAGTAACTGAAAAGCTCTTAGAATTTCTAACTCCTATCTTTCCTCCGATCGGTGGAGGGAAAAAGTTATCAAGTAAATAGAACAATTATAGTTGAATCTCGTCTTTTAAAAGATTGAAAGTCGGACCATGGGATGAGTTCTCACCGAACAAGCTGTGCCGACCAGATTCCTATTATAACGACCTAGCTTAAATTTGAAGCTATGTTTTTTTATAGAGCATACATTGCAAACAAAGAAGAAGACAGATGCCCTCTCCCCATGTCTGTCCTGTGTGTACTTTGTGTTCCAATTCACTCGGATCCCAAGAAATCTTGTAATTCATACACTTTATGCGTGTGTGTACATTATGATATGTAGCTTTCTAAAAACAGAGCCTTTTGTTTGCAGATCGCAAGATTACCTGCACAATTCAATACCCAAAGCCACTGGATCATCAGTGATTTCTTCCGTCACAAATTCTTTGATAAGTGAGACAACGGTCTTTGTGTTTCCTCCTTCAAAAGAGTAAAAGCAACTGCAATTCTCCGATTGCTATCTCCTGTGTTAGTTCTTATTGCATCATTCTATACAGACAAGCATTTTCTCATATCGTCCAATTGCGATTTTGACTGTGAGGTGAATTGCATTGCATCATGTCACTAGGCTTAGGAATAGAGCAATATCTTCCTTCACCACTGGATCCGAAATGGCTATCAGCATCGTTGTTCCGTCTCTTTCTTGATATTCCATCCACTATTCTCCTCAAGGAAATTTTGACAGAGACGAGTTCGTCACCTTTGTTTTCTTTTTTTTTAGATAGTGCCCTACACTTTTGTAACCTTGTTCAACAACCTGAAGATTCACGTTATGAAAGTGGAAATGAATGTCAGAGTATTGAAAATGTCAGAATTTCATATAAACAGATTGAAGGAAAGCAAAGAGAGTACATGACTTGAACACCAAGATCAATTTTTTTTTTAGGATTTTTTATAATCACATATCACCTTGCTGCTCACGTCTTGAGACAAGTCATTCGTTCAAGTCCAAATAAGAAGCGGACATGGAATGATGACGAAATTCTTGCTCATAAGTCATCTGAGAATACTATTGCAAAATGCAATTCCAGAGGCGTGCAGTTCTGTACGGAATTTCAGCTTATCAGATTACCTTTACCTTTCCCAAAGCAGCAGGACAAAGTTTGTTAATCCAGACTGGAAGTTGCAAACTGACAGCAAACTGTCTACAAACCGGACACTCCACTTTCTTATAAGCTGTTTAACATTCGATGGTTTTCTCCATATCAGCAAAAATATCAGATTAGATTATATGTGGCTAATTTCATCCATCCAAGAATAGATAGGAGATGTACATATGAACATCTGAGAATGAGAAATTAGTTGCTAGCCAGACATTTCGCGCAGATATTTCCCTCATCTGGTTTTGCATTTTGCGCAGCTGGTACGGAGTCTCAGAATTTCTTGTTTGTCACCATAGCAGCGTAGGGATTACAGTAAACAGCTCGACAAGTTTTATGTCACGTCGAGTAACAATTCTAGTCCAAGTCATTCATTCTTGAATAAAAATAATAAACATATGTAGCAAGCTACCCGCCTTTCCCAACTTACAATCATACATCCTTTTCTCGTCACCTTCAAAGGGATTGTGAGTACGATGGAGTGAATTCCAGAGAAGCTTGAAATCAGGAAAATGTAGCCAACCATTGTGAAGGACAGAGGTGACAAACCGATCTCTCTTAAAAGATCCAAGAAGAGAATATTCTACGAAAAACTCAAGAAGTAAGGCGTACAGGCGACAAGTCCATGATCCTCAGACTCAAGAGGCAGGCAATGAAGATCGGTGTATCCGGTGGTGAAATTGTGCTTCATGTATCCAACCAGTGACTGTAAATCTGTTCTCTGAAGATCAGTGTATCTGCTGTTTGAGCAAAGAGCTGCTATGAAAACTATGGTAGAAGATAGGCCATGGACAATTGCAATGTTTATCTCTGTTATGAATGAGTGAACAAAGACTCCACAATCTCTTTTGGAGTAAATCTTGTGAAGGATGAAAGTAATGGTGTCTTAGTTCCAAGGGAGATCCAGTTATCCAGTTACATATATTATTATAGTTAAATATTTTTACAGAAAATGTTGCGGAATGTCAGGCAAAACATGTCCGTAAGGAACTCAAATTGGAATAGGTACAAACCAGAACAGTATACCATTTTCCAAAAAAATTTCTGATTGGATTGAAATTGAATTGGGAGAAAAGAGATACAGTGTAGACATGCGGTAACGGTGTCTGACTTTGTGCAGACGATATGTTGGCACAAACACATCTAATCCCTCTTCTTTCTTTGCAACATATTTGTCATTGGATCCCTCACTTTCTAAATAGGATTAGGGTCAGAGTTTCACGCTTTTCATGTTCCGTCGGTATAATTTGAACGGAATATGCCCAATTTCTGTCCGTGTAGGATTGAACTAGAAGGAATTACTACAATCTAATATGATATTTAATTCAATCTTTCTATGCTCAAATCTATGGGTATGAAGCATTAAAAATCTGATTGCTATAATTTCTTTTATGCATCTAGACAAATTTCTATGTTTAACATTTCTGAAGATATTCATCATGCAATTACGTTTATGTGTAATGAAAAGAGTGTCAGCAAGTGCCTCTCCGGAAGTTCGTAGACATGATTTGGTTGGAAGTTTGTAGCTGGTGTGAGCATCAATTTCAACACCAGTGCAGACGGAGATTGGCTGAGAGCATAAAAGCCATAAGAAGAGATTATCGATATATCAACGGGACGGGAATTACGAGAAACTCGGTCACTTCGAGTGATTGGCCCTTGGTACTTGTGATTGTGTTTATTACGTCCCATCGCCGTGGAGTGTAGCTTTTAATATCATCGCTCAGAGTCTAAAATTGGACTTTTGTACTACAGTAGTGGGGTACATCGATACGCGAAGAGAAGAAAACCAGTTCTACTGGAGTACAGTCGAGGTTCAATTTCCATCCTAGTATGCAGCAACTCATTTCAATAGAAATTACGCGAGGCCAGGATTTGGGCACTGCATAATGTCAATAGCAAAGTGTATGGATCGTGTCTAAATCTACATTGTGCGTACATTACTTCCAGGTTTCTGGAATTTCGAGGCATGGAATCATTTGATTCTCATTCCGTGAGTGCGATAAACGATTTTCTCGTGAAGCAAGGTCTACAAAGCGGGCATTTCAAGTCTCGCCCACATGGAGTATCCTATAAAAATTAAGCTTCATGGCAGCATCAAGGTATGCAGCGAGAGAAGGAGCAAAACCAGCAGCATTCAAATAAGGCAAGGCTGAAGAGCAACTTCTCATGCAATCTGACCACGCACTGACGTATAGCGTATCATCAAATGAGCCGACTCTTAACTAAAATTCAAGGTACAAACGTCACTTGAAAGAAGAAAATAAGGTGTTGCCCAAGCGATTCCACAGCAGAGTTAGTCATTTGGATTGTCTTCTCACAGATCTTAAATCATGAAAAATATAAAACAAGATATGATTAGTATATTTATAAAGTTTTTGAATAAAATTTATTATATTGTGGAACATTTTTCCTGATATGATCATCTAAAGTGTGATCTATATTTGTGTGTTATGGTGAAAATTGCTGAATAGAATTGGGCATTTGATCTAAAAAGATATCCGAAAGAACTTCCGATAGTTTCAGAGAACATTATATCATTCTCTCCTCATCATTACGCAGAGAATTTGTGCAATCCTGGATCTTTATATGAACTAATCCTTCATTTCCAAAAGAAACCTATGACATTTGGCTCTTAATTTATGTACTATCGTATTAGATACAATTTGGATATCAAACATAACACAAACATTTCACATTCATGAAATTTCCATGTCTTCTCCCCTTCCTACCTCTAACTCAAGCTTCTCGTTTGAAATCATTTCTGCGACTTTTGTAATCATTCAAATAGATTTATGAAGTACTTGCTAGATTCAAACCTAAATCATCAGAATTTTAACCAAATTCCACAATCCCTAGTCCTCTGCTGATAGTAATCAAAAACCTTCCTAAGATTTAGCACAAAATTTTAGTACGCCACATATATCTCAGTTGCTAATTGGCGGAACGCTTGTCAGCCATAATTTTCCTCCTTCGGCTTCATTTGTAAAGATCAATGTCAGACGAGGATGATCAAGCATACAAGCCTTCAAATCATGCTCTAAAACTCTAGTCGCCACAGGCATCCGAATTTGACCTCACTCGCTTTCTCGCGCTCGGAGGAAACTCTTCACTGACGACAGATTTTCATGACACCAGTATTCAGCCAGAGGACTTCGTTGCTCTAAAACCAAGTGTCATTGGTACACACAAGGAAACCACAAACAGCGACGAAGAGAATACCAAAATAGAAATCTGGCGTAGTTCATCACTCGGTAACGTCCACAATAAAAGATACTTCTTTTGATAATGTTCAAGGGGGACAAGCAAGTTCTTGTTCCTATAGTATTTATAGCCGACCACCAAATCCTAATCAGTCAACAGTGAATTACAACGTAACAAAAAGATAATGTAAACAAATCTTGAACGTAAACAATTTTGTGTATGAGATCTTAAATAAAGTATGAAATTAAATGAATGAGATGAGATCTATTGATAGAATTTTGGAATTTTTTTAATGCAAATCAAGTTAGATATTTTTAGTTATTTGCAAAAATATTTCAAAAGCCTTTAATATTAAAATTCTCATATTTTTAAGTAAAAATTTAAAAAAATTAGTGTTTTTTATTGAAATCTAAGAATTTTGTAACATAAAAAAGAAGAAATAATTTTCTTCTCATTAAATAAAGACTTGTCAAAAAAATTAAAATACTTGTGTTGTACAATAGCAAACTATTTGATTTAATTTGACATAATGTAAAAAAATTACAACGGGTTTTTGTATTATCAATCGTATGAAAAAAGTTTTAATAAAATTTTGATTGAAAGACGAACAGTATCATAGATTTGTTATATTTAATGGAAAATTCATATAAAAGCATACAGAAAAGGTAAACTGAAGATATTTGCAATGTGAGTTCAATTTAAAGTTTTTTTTCTGTATCCTCTAAAAACTAAAAAAATCGAAAAAAAAAATTGTTTTCCTACAAACATAATTTTAACATATTACCTCTAGCAAAATTTTTCAGACTTTGATTTATGCTAATAGTATACAATATAAGATATAGTCATGTTTGTTATACTTATCTAGTAGTTTTTTTATATTCTTATGATTTTAAAGTGATTAAATAGCTGAATCAATTTGATTTTAATATTATATACGTTTTCTACTTGCAATATCCTTTTCTGATTTTGAAAATCTACTTGTGATTGATGATACATATACTGTTGTACAGTTAAAAAACATTTTTATGAATATAGATGTGTATAAACAAAAAATAATTAAATTGATAGCATACTCATTTGTAAATTAGATTGTTAAATCTTACAATAAATTTTCATACTAAAAAATACCACATCAATCCAAATTACGCTCAAAACATTCAAAAAAACTAGAACTAGAACCAGTTAGTAATATTATGAAATATAATTTTTACAACATTTCAAATAATTGACTATTAAGATCAAATGATCTACTTTCAATATAAGCCTCAAATGATACATCTTCCAAAATCAATATTCTATTATGTATAACGGTAGCGTGTGATATTTGTAGCACAATGAAATTTGCTGTAAAAATATGAATCACACAATACGCTAGAAAAAACTCTACACAATTTGTGAAATAAGTTTTACTTATTTCACAATCCGCTAAAGAAAGTGATAAATCTTGCATAATAGACACTCTCACGAACATGTTAAAATTTTCTACATATAAGGGATAACTGATCTCTCCTTATAAAATTTTACTTGGAAGCATGGGTTGCTGCAGTCAAAATAAGTGGTCATTCTTTCATAAACTTTGGCATATGTCATTTTGATAATCACAACTATTTACTTCATAGAACATCTACAATGTGGTGTTTCCAAACAAAAGTTGAATCCATCATATACTCAATTGCAACACTAACCAATATAATTTCAAATGTGAAGTGTCCAACGTCACGTACTTCTTAAGTATCACATATCTAATGGCATCATGTGTACCTATTTTCTGTCCTCCAAATTGGCACCGAGTTAAAATGAGGACTTTTTAATGTTGTTTGGTTTGAGACTTAGACGTGAACAATAAAAAATTGAAGTATGTAAAAGCTGAAGCACACTTTCCTTGAGGTGTTAGTGATTTGTGAGAGTCTAAAAGCGCTAATGCATGATCGAATCATATAATATACACCACACTTGTTATCAGCATACTCCAAAAAAATGGATTTGTAGATTTTGAATGCATGATTTTCAAATAGTGGAAATTATGTATTTATTTTGTACTTTATAAAAAAATCTTTCTAGATTGACATATTTTTTATATGAAATACATGAAAAAAGCTGATCTCAAAATAATTCATGTTTCATTCTGATTATGCCAAAAACTTATACTTTCAAAACTGATGGAAAAATAGAAATAAATGTCAGTTAACTTTTCAAAATATTTTTTAAATGTAAAATTTATTAAAATAATCAATATATTTTATGACTATGAATGATAATAACATAAAAACCAGTTCTTTCATTTGATATTATTCTACAAATTTAGTGAGTTATGAATTTATTCCGATTTCATGCAAAAGAATTAATTTTTGGATCGCTTATGATAGATATATCATGAATTCATCCACGTCTTGTCAACGATCCCTTCAACTTGGTAAAAAAAAGTAAGGTGATTGAAAACTGTACGAGCTCTATCAAAATAATAATAATATTTCCACCATTACGTCCCAAATTTCGCTTATCACCTCTCGTGGTAAGTAACACGTTATTCTACATGTCAATATATAAAACCTCCCCATGACCACGTGTAAAATTCTCTCTAAGACACTTATTTAACAAACGCGCCAGTTGTTTGGCTCTTTCAGCCTCACATTCTAACGTGTATGAATCAACTTTACTTTCTCATGTTCCACAAGGCACCGCCCATCTTTCCGTGTGGGTCACAACTATCGCATGCAGGAAAACAAATCGAGTCCCATGGCGCTCTTACAATACAAACCTAGAAATCTAGTCCAAGCAGTTCATACCAAACGTTCATGCCAGTAATCTCGGGTCGTACCTCTGCGAGACTCTCTCAGCTAATATAAAGCAGGATCAAAACAGATATTTATCCACATGTCTTCTTCTGCCGTGTGACGTACGGTGACGCTCCTCTCGAAAAAGCTTTTGATTCTCGTGCCTATTTGAGGTACGATGATTTCGAAAAGAAAGATTCGTGTTGACCTTGTTAGGATCTTCATGCACATCAGTACGACCTGTAGTCAGAGCCAGCGTCAGTTGCGTGTCACGTTGAGATCTCTTTGACTAACATACTAGACTGCCATTAAAGGCAATGGTAAGGGCCGTGGATAAATTCCAATTCCAATAAGTATGCCGCGTAGATAAATGCATAGATGAGTACAACCAATTCTTGAGAGTTATTATGAGTGCCGGAAAAAAAATTTCATTATGGGTACAGTAAATGCTAATAGTATGGCATGTGAAGTCCATAGGGTTTCATTCTCGTAAATTAAAGGAAATTGACCTGCTATAAACATCTCATCTCTTCCGAATATTTTATTCTCAATTGGTGTTGGTCAATGTAAGATTTAGATGATATAAGAGGTTCTATTGATTCACCACCACACTTTATCACCGGGTTGTGAGTGCAGCCAAATCCTATCAAAGATACCTCAACAACCTACTTTGTTTGCTTACATGGGTGGTAATGTTACTGTCAACTATATGGAATCTCGCATTGATCATATAAGAGAAAAATATACTGAAGTCGAAGGCTCACCAAAGTCAAACAAATTTGTGATTTCTTTCTAGTTCTCTTGCATTGATAATTGAAGCGTTTGGTTTATGTTGAAGCATTTAAAACCAAGTAATCCCGAACACGCGCAAAGAATTATAGTGCCAAGTAACTTATGGCATTGAATAACATGTGCTACTTCCCAGTATTCGTTGAAGCAAATTATAACACGGTTACACAAATGAGTTTTGATTGTAGTTAATTTCAGTTTAGTTTCAAGTATACTACTAAAAAATCTTAAGATATGTTGATATCAAGTAAAACCTCAATTGAGAAATTAATAGTTACATTTTCATAAATGAAACTACAACATTGGGCACATCAGCTCATACTCTAGTCTTAGAGCAAATGTCTTACTCCAAATATGAAGTAAAGAAAGATGTTTTACTTCTCTTTTGATCTACTTAGATACAAGGCTTATTGTTAGACAAAGCTCTAAGAATTATTTATTCAAGTTGAATATATTTGAACAAATATTTCAATTCTATATT